ATGAGGACTCTGCCCCTCCACCTGGGCATCCAAGCTTTTCCATACATCTGAAATCTAGGCAGAGGTTCCCAAACTTCAATTCTTGATGTCTGTGCACTTGCCGGGCGCTCAACACCATGTGGAAGCTGCCAAGGCTTGAGGCTCGAACCCTCTGAAGCCATGGCCTGAGCTCTACTTTGTCCCCTTTCAGCCATGGCTGGAGTGGCTGGTACACAGGCACCAAGTCCCTAGGCTGCACACAGCATGGAGACCCTGGGCCCAGCCCAGGAAACCACTTTTTCCTCCTAGGCCTCTGGGCCTGTGATGGGAAGGGCTGCTGCAAAGGTGTCTGACATATCCTGGAGATATTTTCTCCACTGTCTTGGTGATTAACATTCAGTTCCTCATTACTTATGCAAATTTCTGCAGCCAGCTTGGATTTCTCCTCAGAAAATGAGATTTTTCTTTCCTATCACCCTGTCAAGCTGCAAAATTTTCAAACTTTTATGCTCTGCTTCCCTTATAAAACTGCCTTTAACAGCACGGAAGTCACCCCTTGAATGCTTTGCTGCTTAGAAATTTCTTCTGTCATGATATGGTTTGGCTGTGTCCCCACTCAAATCTCATCTTGAATTTCCACATGGGAGGGACCTAGTAGGAGGTAATTGAGTCATGGGAGCAGGTCTTTCTGGTGCTGTTCTTGTGATACCCAGTCATGGTAGGGTATCTGGTGGAATATTGATTTAGGGTATCTGGTGGAATAAATTTCTAAGCAGCAAAGCATTCAAGAGGTGACTTGGGTGCTGTTAAAGGAATTCGGTTTTATAAGGGAAGCAGAGCATGAAAATTTGGAAAATTTGCAGCCTGACAATGCGATAAAAAAGAAAATTCCATTTTCTGAGGAGAAATTCAAGCCAGCTGCAGACATTTGCATAAGTAATGGGGAGCCAAATGGTAGTCACCAAGGCAAAGGGAAAATGTCTCCAAGGCACACCAGAGGTCTTCCTAGCAGCCCCTTCCATCAGAAGCCCGAGGCCTAGACTTGCACAAGGAGTAACAGGAATCTACCCGTGGAAAGTAGCAAACAGTGTAGGCATTTCTCAGCAGAAACAGCAGTTAATTTTTCAAATTCTCAGTTTGAGGAAAGATCCAAAGGGTAACATAAAACTCCAAGCTTGGATATGGGCTTGGGGACTCCAAGCCTCCTCCCTGGAGGTTGGAATCAGATTGGTGAGGGAGGAAAAGGGATTGTCAGAGAGCTAATGACCAAGAACAGGATGGCTGACTGTGTAAAGAACAGAGGGGCTGAAGGTGAGGCATACTTTCTACTGGGGCATAGAACTGATGGACAGAGTTGCCTCCCTCTCAATGAAAGGAAGTACTTTGAAATAGAGGGTGAGTCCCAGGGCCACAGAGGCAGGATAGCTGGATTTGAGTTATGACTTAAACACATTCTAGCCCTGTGACCTTGGCTAAATTAATTCCAAGTTCTAGACCTCTGTTTCCCTGATCTGGAAAATGGGGATAGGTTGCTATAAAAATTAAATGAGTTAATGCAGGTAAAGCATTTAGAACAGTGTTTTAACTCTATAAATATTTGATATATATACTAGCTGGGTTTGTTGTTGTTGTTTTTGGTTTTGTTTTGTTTTTTTGAGATGGAGTTTCACTCTTGATGCCCAGGCTGGAGTGCAGTGGTGCAATCCCAGCTCACTGCAACCTCTACCTCCTGGGTTCAAGCAATTCTCCTACCTCAACCTCCAGAGTAGCTGGGATTATAGGTGCCTGCCACCACGCCTGGCTAATTTTTGTATTTTTAGTAGAGACAAGGTTTCATCATGTTGGCCAGGCTGGTCTTGAACTCGACCTCGTGATGCACCCGCCTTGGCCTCCCAAAGTACTGAGATTGCAGGAGTGAGCCACCACATCCAGGCTAAACAAATTATTGTTAGTTTTTTCATCGACTTCTGCTGATACTTAACATTTTGATCAAGCTATTTGAAACTCAATCCCTTTACTATGTGAATAATTGTGGATTTTTATTACCATTCACTTAAGTTTATTCGTGGTTTTGGGGTGGTTTTTGTTTTTTCGGCATTTTCAGAATTCTCAGGCTCTTTGGTTTTCCAGAAAATGAAGTGCTGCCCTCTGCTGGCTCTCATGATGACAACCTGAAAATGTCTCCCATGACTTTCAGGCTGTGTTGGGACTACAAACATTGCCTAGAGATATTATTCGATGCATGTATCTGTTAAAGAAATCCTCTTCATAATTTCCCACAGTCAAGGCAGCCACAACATAAAATCAGACTGAGAGGAAAACTTCTGCTGATACTTAACATTTTGGTCAAGCTATTTGGTCAACCCCTTTACTATGTGAATAATTGCGAATTTTTATTACCATTCAGTTAAGTTTATTTAAGGTTTGGGGTTTTGGGGTGTGTGTGTGTGTGTGTGTGTGTGTGTGTGTGTGTGTGTGTGTGTGTGTGTGTGTGTGTGTGTGTGTGTGTATTTTCAGAATTTCCAGGCTCTGGTTTTCCAGAAAATGAAGTGCTGCCCTCTGCTGGCTCTCATGATAATGACAACCTGAAAATGTCTCCCATGACTTTTTTTGAGACGAAGAGTTTCACTCTTGATGCCCAGGCTGGAGTGCAATGGCACCATCTCGGCTCACTGCAACCTCCACCTCCCAGGTTCAAGCGATTCTTCTGTCTCAGCCTCCCGAGTAGCTGGGATTACAGGCACGTGCCACCACACCCAGCTAATTTTGTATTTTTAGTAGAGACAGGGTTTCACCATGTTGGTCAGGCTGGTCTTGAACTCCCAATCTCAGGTAGTCTGCCAGCCTCAGCCTCCCAAAGCGCTGGGATTACAGGTGTGAGCCACTGCACCTGGCCTCCCATGACTTTCAGGCTGTGTTGGTTGGACTATAAACATTGCTGAGAGGGCCGGGCGCGGTGGCTCAAGCCTGTAATCCCAGCACTTTGGGAGGCCGAGACGGGTGGATCACGAGGTCAAGAGATCGAGACCATCCTGGTCAACGTGGTGAAACCCCGTCTTTACTAAAAATACAAAAAATGAACTGGGCATGGTGGCGCATGCCTGTAATCCCAGCTACTCAGGAGGCTGAGGCAGGAGAATTGCCTGAACCCAGGAGGCGGAGGTTGCGGTGAGCCGAGATCGTGCCATTGCACTCCAGCCTGGGTAACAAGAGTGAAACTCCGTCACAAAAAAAAAAAAAAAACGAAAACATTGCTGAGATATTATTCAATGTGTGTATCTGTTAAATCCTCTTTATAATACAGTTTCCCACAGTCAAGGCAGTTACAACATAGTATCAGATTGAGAGGAAATAGCATTGTCTAGTTCTTTTCTTTAGACAGAGTCTCGCCCTGTCGCCCAGGCTGGAGTACAGTGGCTGCACTCTTGGCTCACTTCAACCTCCACTTCCTGGGTTGAAGCAATTCTCCTGCCTCAGCCTCCAAAGTAGCTGGGATTACAGGTGCCCGCCACCACACACAGCTAATTTTTGTATTTTTAGTAGAGACGGGGTTTCGCCATGTTGGCCAGGCTGGTCTCTCAACTCCTGACCTTGTGATCTGCCCACCTCGGCCTCCCAAACTGCTGGGATTACAGGTGTGAGCCACCACACTGGGCCAACACTGGTCTTGATCTATTAAAAAATTGACCTGCCAGGCGCGGTGGCTCAAACCTGTAATCCCAGCACTTTGGGAGGCCAAGGCAGGTGGATCACGAGGTCGAGAGATCAAGACCATCCTGGTCAACATGGTGAAACCCCGTCTCTACTAAAAATACAAAAAATTAGCTGGGCATGGTGGCACGTGTCTGTAATCCCAGCTACTCAGGAGGCTGAGGCAGGAGAATTGCTTGAACCCAGGAGGCAGAGGTTGCGGTGAGCCAAGATCGCACCATTGCACTCCAGCCTGGGTAACAAGAGCGAAACTCTGTCTCAAAAAAAAAAAAAATTGACCTAAAAATTTTTGATCATTTGAGATCAGCAATTCCCAAGCACTAGTTTTGTAAAACTATTGTAAAAAAAAGCCCTATCAAACATTAGCCAGACCCCAAATTCACTGTCAAAATGAAGCTGTTTCCAATGCTTATCACTTTACTCAACATACTACCTTCAGCCCAGTATTTACCTGCAGCATGAGGACCAATCATATTTCCAAATCCAAGTAACATACCCCACCCCCACAACCAAGCAACTATGAAGTATCAAAGGAAAGTCAAGTTTATCTGGGAAGCCTGGGAACCAGCTACCTATATAATCACCTCCCAGGACACAGTGCTACTCCAAATCACATTCCCAACACTTAAAAGATGGTTTCTTCACAACATGAGTCATTATTTTAAATTTGTAAACTTTAAGTTGTTGTTTAATTCATGCAGAATTCTGGGAAGCCCTCCCTCCTCTGGGTTAGGTGTCTTCTAGCAGTGTCACACATCTCACATCTTCAGGTGAGCTTTGCAATTACTGCTTTCCAGCCAACAACTGATCCCAATGCAAAGATGCTGGGTTACAATAAATCACGTCATCAGGCATTGCTAAGGACATCACAAGTGGGTAAAGTTGCATGACAATTTTTTTTTTTTTTTTTGAGACAGGGCCTTGCTCTGGCACCCAGGCCGGAATAGTGGCACCACCTCACCTCACTGCAGCTTCAACCTCCTGGGCTCAAGCAATCCTCCCACCTCAAGCTCCCAAATAGCTGGGAATATAGGGGTGGGTGCACCACCATGCTCAGCTAAGTTTTCTATTTTTTTGTAGGGTCAGGGTCTCTCCATATTGCCCAGGCTGGTATTGACCCACTCACTTCAGCCTCCCAAAGTGCTGGGATTATAGGCATAAACCCCCACACCTAGCCTCCACTACCATTTTTTAACAATGCTCAACCAAATTTTTATTATTTAGGAATCACATATTCATTTAATTCCTTCCATCAAAATGAAAGGAACATACACACCACCCCTCTGTGTAACATAGTCAAAAGCCACAGGTAATCTTTCAAGCTTTTATTTAAATGCCATAATCCAGGATGGATTTTAGATCTTGTTGAAAGCAGCCACATCCATGGACTGGACATAATCCTCAAAAGCAGTGATCTGCTCCTCCAGCATATCTGTTCCAACTTTATCATCTTCAACTACACATTGTATTTGAAGTTTCTTAATTCCATATCCCACCGGAACTAGTTTAGCTAAAAAGAGCATTAAGAAAAATCTTAGTTAGAAAAGTCCTGTAGAGAAAGAAATGAAGCTGTATGAAAATTCCAGATGTCAGTTTAAAAAAAAAAGGAATGCCTCAACTCACATGAGCCCCAGACTAAGCCGTCTGCTTGAATGCTTCTGACACACTCCTCTAATTTTGCCATATCTGTCTCATCATCCCAAGGTTTCACATCCAGTAAGATGGAAGACTTGGCAACAAGTGCAGGTTCTAAAAAACATAAACAGCATTACTCAAATAATGAATTACGTTTTTTCCACCCTCTAAGACACAAACAAATCATCTCAATGTTTCGAGAGCGACTATCTCCTTAGTCAAAACTACAGATACATCTTGTGTCTGTCACACATATGCCCACTTTCTGTTTTGCTAAGAAAGAGGTGTTTAATTGTGTTAACAGTTTCTTTCCCACAGAGGAATGCCACAACTGCTACCATAAGAACAGCTGCAGACCAGTAGCTGTGGAAGAACCCCTACAGGAGGTTTTAAAATATTAACCTATTCAAGGACTGTAAAGGAAATTACTTCAAGGACAACTTTGAAAAACATTACTTACATTACTACGAAATGAAGTTAAAAACAAATGACCTACTTTTAGCTTTCTTTGATTCATATTGTGCAAGACGTTCTTCCCTTAGCCTCTTTGCTTCTTCACTTTCCTATAAAGAAAAAAAAAATTAATCCATTTTTTCAGAAAGCCAGTTGTTCGTCTGCTTAAAGCTAGTGGGATCATCACAAAAAAGACTGGCTTTATCAGAAAAAAGCAAATACATCACGAACTCAGCCGAAAGATGGTGATTTGATTTTATTCATCATGCAACCAGTCAGAATTGATAAAGGCATGTAAATCAAAACCAGGATTCAAATCCTGGCAATTCGGTTTATCCACAATGATAAACTGCCGATCAGTGTGTGTATGTGCGTTGTTTTTTTTTTTTTTTTTTTGAGACGGAGTCTCTCTCTGTTGTCCAGGCTGGAGCACAATCACAGCTCCTTGTAACCTCCGCCTTCTGGGTTCAAGTAATTCTCTGCCTCAGATGGCATTGCAGGCACCCGCCACCACACCTGGCTAATTTTTTTTGTATTTTTAGTAGAGATGGGGTTTCACCAACTTGGCCAGGCTGTTCTTGAACTCCTGACCTCATGACCCACCCACCTCAGCCTCCCAAATTGCTGGGATTACAGGCGTGAGCTACTGCACCCAGCCAATGTTTTCTTTATAGAAGATGCCATACCTCCTCATCATCAGATCCGAAGAGATCAATGTCATCATCATCTTTACTATCTGTAGCTCCACTTCCTGTAGTGTCTTCCACATCCACAGGACCATACTTGCCCAAAGCTTTCTTCACTCCTGGCAGGCTTGAAAAACATTTAAATTCAACCACTATTGAGCTGGTATAACATCCTTTTCCAGACCATACAAAATAACTTGTTTCAATCACTATTCATCACTAGACCCCTTTTGCAATAATTTACTCTTTTACATACTCCCAGGTAAACACTGTCATATGTTCAACTGGTCACCCAACAAAACGTTAGTCCCATGTGAAACAGTATTTTCAACACTCACTATGATTTACTCTTTTAGTATGCACATTTCTGTTTGAAATTTCGTTAAGTATGCTCAGTTCCATTCTTACTGAAATGGAATCCACTTTCCCAAACTTCCACCCTTGTTGGCAGTTTCAGAATAGCCAAGGACTGAATGAATGAGCCACCCTCTCACCCCAGAGGTGGGGCCCCCAGGTCAGGGTCGAGGTACATTGGCAGGGCAGTGTGGGGAAAAGTTGAATTGCTGTTGTCCATGTTCTACCTGTTCTGTGAAAAAATGGAGGACTTCAGTCTCTTGGCCTTCTAAGGTTACTGAAAAATTTAGCTTACAATATCCCAACAAAGCTAAAGTAGCCTGGGTCCAGTTTTGTCATGTGAACATGCTGATTAACTTCGAGAGCAGTCTTATTGCTCAGCTTGACACAAAGATGATTTTACCTGGCCTTTTCCTTTTCATAAGACTTGATGTGGTTATACCAACGTAGGGCATGACACAAGTCGGCAGGCGGTGGGCCAGACACTGCTTCAAATACTGCCACATCTGCTTGTGATGGCACATACCTGCCAATGACACAGAAACGTTCATACACACCTTGGAAAGACAAACGCCAGCGAAAATAATGCTGCATGCATCACATTAATCAGTGGGCACTAGCCCCGGTAGGGGTGCTTTAATACTTTTTTTTAAATTATTATCAGCTCTTTAAAATCAAACCATGCTTGGGTCGCCACGTTATCCTGAGAAATGTCTTGCCACTTAGTAGACCTCAACGATTGCAATCTCTAGCATTGCTCTATCTACAGCCCAACATTTTAACTGGGCAGCGACGCGACTACACCTGGCTGAATTAAGTGTAAACAAAGCACATTTCAACCATTTACTGCTAGTGAACCGCTCCCCGGAGCCCGGGCTCGCACCACACGCGGGCCTTGGGAGATGGTAACGGAGGGCGCTAACCCCTCATCCTCCCTCCCTCCCGGGGCAGCCGACGCTGCAACACGTGGCCCCGGCCCCGGCCCCGGCCCCGGCAAGCCTCCCCACCATCCCGTCTCGGCCCGTCCGCTCACCCCTCGATGTAGCTCTTGTCCGCCAGGTAGTCGTTGAGCACCTGGAGGCCGGCGGGGCTTTTCAGGTCTCCGAAACCCATGACGTCTGCTGTATCCGAGAGCTGGGGAGCAGCAGAAAGAGAGAGCGTACGCTAACGGCGCCCCGCGCTCAAAGAGAAAAAAGGGCCCAGAGAGGCCGGAAAATTCCTTATATAGAGACGGAGGCGTTTCCCTCCACCGCGCCCGACCAAAGGTTAAAGGTCAACGTGCGTTAGCATTCTCACTTCTTCCACGTACGAATTGGGGGCCCTGAATTAAGTGGCCCACAAATTGTCCCTGGACCCTTCGTTGCGTTTGGAAATAAATAAAACCGGCATGTCTTATTAAAGTCGTACCTCCACGACTCCGGAAGATAACGGGAACCGCCCCTTGATGCGCCGGAGATGACCAAAGACGCTCGACCTCGGGGCTACAGGCCACTTCCGGCGGAACTGCGGGTCCAAGTTGTCCTTCCCGCCTCCCCGCTGGGCCGACCTCCGCTCCACCCTCTGGTCGGCTGACGGAAATTGCCGACAGACTTGTCGAATGCGAGGATTCTAGTCCCTCCGGGCTTTCCGTTCTCCAGCCTCGGCTGACAGAGTTAGCTGAGGCCGCCATATTAAGTAAGCGACCCGGTCTCCTTAGGGTCGTAGTGGTCCGGACAGTTTAGCAGAGCAGCCTCCGCGGCTCCGAGGAGAAGGTGAGGTCTTGCATGGATGGGAAGGGTGAGATGCGTCGGTCAGCGGTTTATTTCTTGACGGGACTGTTTCCTTTGGCCCACGCGACTTTTTCTTCTCTTGTCCTTGACTGGGCGCCGCCTCCCGCTCCGCCGCCTCACAAGCCCCTGAGAACCGGCAGATGGGGAGGGACTTTTAGCCACGGAGTCTGGGCTGATGAAGCAGAAAGGAAGAGGAGGGTCAGGGGACCCTTGGGAACGCTGGCCCGAATGCACGCTTGCAGGCGACCTTTCCTCTGCAGGGAAGATTCAGGACATTCCCCTCTCCGAGGAGGACGTTTTGTTCCCCAGGAGAGAACTAGTGTCCGATGCCTTAGGCCTTAAGACTGAGCCTGTCCCCTCAGATTTCCACACACCTGGTACACTGTCTGGTTGTTTCGCCGCTGTTGTTTCGTTCACGCCTCTGTTGACTGTTTGTTTTGTCCATTGACCGCATTGGACAGCATTTTATTCCTTTAACTGACGAGGAAATTGAGAAAAAGGACTTTTGAAAAGTTAGCCCAGGGTTGCATTGTGAATAACAAAACGTTGTTTACACGTTCTTGGGATCTAATGCTTTTACTGTAAGACCTTGAATCAGGCACAACTCTGTTCACACACGAATTGACGGTATACAAGTGTAACAGTCACTTTGGGTAAGTAAACAGTTATTTTTGTTTTGCGGAATACTCTTGTTTTCACCGAGTTAGGGCTGCCAGAGCACCTGCACTTTTTAAATCCGGGAAAGTGCTCTATACGAGTTACGACCAGAAATTAGAGATTCAGTTCACTTAACAGTTATTGAGCGTTTACGAGCCAAAAATGAGTTCGTAAAGAAGAATAAAATAGATATGACTGGGGAATCGTCAGGAAATGTTAGATAGGCTGGTCAATGAAAATCTCCTTCATTGGTTTTTAAGCCAAGATGTGAAGGATGAGGAGTGGCCCGAAAGATCAGAGGGAAGAGCATTTCAGTCTGAGATTACAGCCGGTGGCAAGAGGGGAGGGGCTGTGTGGGAACAGTGTGAAAGTCTGGTGACCTGTTAAGCTATTGAAATACCCCAGGCAAGGAGTGGTGGTGGATTGGGATAGGGTAGTACCTTGGATGGATGCAGGATCCATGTTGGAGAACGTGGAATAGTATGGTCCCTATACGGAAAGGTGCCCAGTCTAGTATTAGAAATGATTGGTCATTAGCATTTTTCCGTCTAAAGAGACAATTATTTTTGTTGCTGCTTGGTATGTCAGTGTTCAAAACACATATGCAAGTGTTGCAAATGTGTGTTTCTTCCTTTGGCCTATGCTTTGATGCCAGTGTCAATAGCCTAGTTCTAGTTGATTTCCTATCTAAAGTGAATACTGTTGTTATATCCTATTTTAAGTAGTATTAAAGTTTTAAAATTGAATGAAATACTGATTGTTGATTGCAAATCTGTCAATGCTCTAATGCAGTAAGCTTAGGTTTACATTTATATATGCCATCAGTTTTTAATAAGACAGATGTTACTCATTTCTAGAACTTGGTGATACCGTGTTAGGTCTTCAAGAAGGGAAGTATGCAAACTCTTTGTCCTCAAGGAGCTTACAGTCTGATAGGTACTAAAACTGATTACTAACCTGCCGTTTAGTAAGTGGAATAATAAAGATAAATACACAGTGTGTACTGGTACTAAAGAAAAAGCACAAAGAGCACTTTAAAACTGATTATCGGTGGCCGTGGTGGTTCACACCTGTAATCCCAGCACTTTGGGAGGCCAAGGTGGGTGTTATCACCTGAGGTCAGAAGTTCAAGACCAGCCTGGCCAACTTGGCCAACGTTGTCTCAACTAAAAATACAAAAATTAGCCGGGCATGGTGGCAGGTACCTGTAATCCCAGCTGCTTGGGAAGCTGAGGCAGGAGAATTGCTTGAACCTGGGAGGCACAGGTTGCAGTGAGCCAAGATCATGCCATTGCACTCCAACCTGAGCGACAGAACGAGACTCTGTCTCAAAGAAAAAAAAAGCCACACACACAGAAACTTATTGTCAGTGGCCACCAGTACTGCCTAAGTTGAATTCAACTTTAACTGGCATTTATTGAGCTCCTACTAAGAGCTCATAGTCTAGGAAGTACTGTTTTCCTCCTGCTCTGTAAGTCAAGAACCAGTAACTGATTTACCCAAAATTACTCACTAGCAGGAAACAGAGTTGATGTTTGCAAATTCAGTATCACATATTCTTAATTAATGAAATGATGAATTAATGACATTTCCTGTTGTACATCATCTGTGATAAGTGTGCAGAATTTTGTGCTTAAAACCAATGTATATGCACTGTTATCCAATAATACTGTTGCAAGTATTGAAACTTTACTGTTGAAATTTTTTTTAATACATTCTAATCACATAATTTGCTGCTTCTTTTTTTGCTTGTTTGTTTGTTTGTTTGTTTTTTGAGACAGGATCTTATTCTGTCTCCCAGGCTGGAATGCAGTGGCATGATTAAAGCTCATTGTAACCTTGAACACCTGGGCTCAAGCCATCCTCCCAGGTCAGCCTCCTGAGGAGCTGGGACTACAGGTGCATGCCACCACACCCAGCTAATTTTTCTTTTTTTGGTAGAGATGGGATCCTATTGTGTTGCCCAGGCTGATCTCGAACTCCTTGAGGTAGCCTTCCAAAGTGTTGCGACTACAGGCATGAGCCACTTCATCTGGCCAATTTGCATTTTTAATACCTTTAGAAGTTCCAAATGATTTTAGATGCTTAACCTATATGATCAAGTGAATAGGCAAAAAGGTCAGTGCTTAGCCTATGTGATCAAGTAGGAAAAAAAAAAACCAACAAGTCTAGAAGTTTTGGTAACTTGGCTGGGCACAGTGGCTCATGCCTGTAATCCTAGCACTTTGGGAGGCCGAGGTGGGTGGGTCACCTGAGGTCCAGAGTTTGAGACCAGCCTGGCCAACATGGTGAAACCCCATCTCTACTAAAAATACAAAAATTTTCTGGGTAAAGTGACTCACACCTGTAATCCCAGCACTTTGGGAGGCTGAAGCAGGCTGATCACCTGAGGTCAGGAGTCGAAGACCAGCCTGGCCAACATGGTGAAACCCCGTCCTACTAAAAATACAAAAATTTGCCAGAGTGGTGGTAGGAACCTGTAATCTCAGCACTAGGGAGGCTGAGACAGGAGAATCGCTTGAACCTGGGAGGCAGAGGTTGCAGTGAATCGAGATCACACCACTGCACTCCTGGGTGACAGTGAGACTGGGTGACAGCGAGACTGCCCCTCAAAAATAAATACATAAATAAGTAATAAAAATGCAAAAATTAGCCTGGTATGGTTGTGCACACCTGTGGTCCCAGCTACTCAGGAGGCTGAGGCAGAATTGCTTGAACCTAGGAGGCAGACGTTGCAGTGAGCTGAGACTGCACCACTGCACTCCAGCCTGGGCAGCAGAGTAAGACTGCATCTCAAAAAAAAAAAAAAGTTTCGGTAATTTTTCTTTCTGTTTGTGTTGTTTGTCTTTGAGTCTTGGTGTTTATGTAATCCACCCCCATTTATTTCAGTAATTCAGTAAGCCTTTTAGAGCAGTGTCTCAACTTCAGGACTATCGATACTTTGGATAATTTTTTATTGTGGAGGACTGTCCTGTATGTTATAGGGTGTTTAGCCAGCACCCTGCCCTCTATCCACTAGATGTTGGTAACTTCCCCCTGTTTGCGACAGCACTGTCTTCAGCTGTTGTTGAATACTCCCTGGGGAACAAAATTGTCCCCAGTTAAGAACTGTTGTTTAAGAGCTTACTCTGTGCCATCCTGGTTGATAGGTACTGAAGATAGAAAAAATCAAGGAGTTAATGCAGTGAGGGCAGAATGGGCTTATAAACACGTAATTGGAAATCTGTAAGACAAGTGTATCAGAAAATAGCACTCAAGACACCTCAAAGGCTTGGGCTGGTGAGCTATCTCAGAATATCTCAGGAACCTTTAGTAGACAGCTATGCTTGGAACATGAAACAATAGAATGCAGGTAGGAAATGAAAGCAGAAAAGTAGACCTTATTTTACATAATCATTAGTGATAAGCTCACTGTTAGTCTTGCAGTTTATTTTACTGTGTGGTCCTGTTTTAAGTTTGATACTTTCTAAATAATGTTTTTAAATGACAAAACTCCTCTCTGCATAGAATTAGAAAGTGCAAATGTATACAATAGCTGTTGCTGCTTAGCTCTTTGACATTGTACAAGTCTATGTCTCTGAGACTAAGAATTCTCATCTACAGACTTTGAGGGAAAATATCAGAACCTATGAATGTTCAGCGACATAATGTATGTGAAATACTTTAAAGCCATAAACATTACCAGTTTTTTCCAATACAATAATATAATTCTTTGTTTTATTTTTAGCAATATGTTAAGGACACCTCTAAGAAAGGCCTTAGTAGGCCTTTCTAAGTCTCCTAAAGGATGTGGTAAGTATTTTTTTTGAAATCTGCATTCATGGGTATTATACCTTATTTTTGTAAATTTATAAGTCTATGGAATATATATATAATATATATATATTTTTTCTTAGTCCGAGATGGCTATGAAAAGTCTACGGAATATTTTATCAAAGACCCTAAAACTATAATTTTAAAAAATAAAAATATAAAGAGACCGGGCTCAGTTACTCATGCCTATAATCACAGAACTTTGGGAGGCTGAGGCAGGTGGATCGCCAGGAATTCGAAACAAGCCTAGCC